GTCAAACACAAGTTACTTAATAACCCATTAAATCTGTAATTTTTACTTTCAAGTGAGTGCAACAAAGCGCTCATGGCAATTCCACATTTCTGGTTAATGCAAAACAGCTGTCTTCTTTTGTTCCCTTTTCAGAATAAAAACATATATATTAAAAAAAATGTATTAAATATTTGTTACGTCTGTCTGAACAGTTGAACGAGAAGCAGATTTTCTGCATTTTAGTTTAGTTTTCATCCTGTTCCATCTATATGAAATGCCTATCAGGAGGTTTTACCACTACCAGAGCAGGCCTGCACTCTCTCTCATTTGTGTAGGTTCTGACTACAAAACAAGCAATGAGCAAAAACAACATTTGACTTTTGCACAGTACCAGACAATCTCCTCTACAGAATAAAACACCACCGGAGCCAGAGTCCATGAAACTCTGCACCATCAAAAAAGCTGAATTTTGCATAACAGGTCCTCTTTAAAGGAGCACGAGACAAAAGACACCAGTAAGAACAAACATCAGAGAAAACAAACACAAACAAGCAGAGTCACTGCTGGATCTGGAGCTGCCGACTGGTGTGCACGGTGCACAGGAATGTTTGTGCATTCCACAGAATGCTCACATGGAGGGAGGGGGCAGGAGAGAGAAACTGTACCACCCCCACCTTCAGCTCCTCTGAGCCTGGAGACAGAAGCAGGCTGTCGCCCGCCGTCCATCATGGAGGGCTTTTACACTTTCTTATAGCTGTAGCATCTTTAAAGAGGCCTGCTGAGGTTTTGTTGGGATCAGAGAGCAGATGTGATAATTAYCCCAGAAAACACAACAACATGTTGACTGTCGGCCAGCGTCACATTCATTATAAACTTATTAAACCAATTGGGGAACTTTTATTATTTATAGCTTTTTATTTTTTTCCAACAACAGTTCAGATCACAGCTGAAGGCTGTGTGCTAACATGCTAACTCGTGTAGCTCATTACTGTTAGCTCTTTTATATGAAGATAAATGTTCTAGAAAGGTTTTCTAATAAATAAATAAACAGATGATGTTTCATGGTGTGCTGGAACACCTGTGCACACCATGGTGCACAGTTGTGACAGCTGAGAGGGGAGCTCAGGGTTGTAGTAAATTATCTAACAGTGTTGCTGTATCATTTAATTCAGTGGCTAACTAATAACTATCTGGTAGCTTCAGATGAACTGGTAATCTGAACAATGAGTCTCTGCCTGCCTTTTCGGACCTCAGACTGTTGTTCTGKTTTATCTGAAGTTCTGACAGTTAAATTATCTTTAGTTTGTTCTTTTTGTGACTCA